GGACAGTATTATCAACAAATGGTTCAGGAAAACCTGGATATCCACATGCATAAGATGGCTTTACCTTACTCCATATACAAAAGTTATCAAATACATCAACAACATCAAACTTAGGAGATAAAACTATAAAACTCTTAACAGAAAACGTAAAGGCTAATCTTTATGACACTGGATTTGGCAGTTTGGTGATTATTTCTTCGATATGACAATAAAAGCACTAGCCAAAAATAAAAAGATAAATTGGACTTCATCAAAATTAAAAAATTCTGTGCATTAAAAGACACTTTCAAGGAAGCTAAAAGGCAACTTACATAATGGGAGAAAATATTTGCAAATCACATATCTGATAAGGTACTAATAGCCATAGCATATAATAACTGAAATTCAACAACAAAAAACCAAACAACCCAATTATGGTTAAAATGGGCCAATACTTAAATGGATACTTCTACAAATATATATAAACAGCCAAAAAGCAGATGAAAAGATGCTCAATATCATAAATCATGAGGAAAATGCAAATCAAAACCACAATAAGATACCACTTCACAACTACTAGGAGGAATATAATAACTTTTTAAATGGAAGATAATTAGTGTTGGAAAGGATATGGAGATAGATACTGGAAACCTCTTATATTGCTGGTGGGAATGTAAAATCCATGGCTGCTGTGAAAAACAATTTGGTAGTTTTTCGAAAAGTTTAATGTACAACAACCATATAACTCATCAATTTAACTCTTAGGGATATATACAAAAGAATTGAAAGTGGGGATTCAAACAGATATTTATATGTAATTGTTCCTAAAGGTATCATTCACAATAGCCAAAAAATAGAAACAACCTAAGTTTTCACCAACAGATGAACAGATAAACAAAATATGATATATCCATACAATGGAATATCATTCACCCATAAGCAGTAATTAAATTTTGGTATATGCTACAATGTAGGCAGTCCCCAGGTTATGAACAAGAGAGGTTCTGTAGGTTTGTTCTTAAGTTTAATCTGTGTGCAAGTTAGAGCAGGTACGTTTACCTAGTACCTATAATAACCTCTGTTCATAAGTGATAGCCATATGTCAGTCAGATGTTTGCAACTTGAGGACTTACTGTAATAGCCTCTGTACTTATGAGTTGTATGTAAGTCAGATGTTTGTAAGTTGGGGACTGCCTGTAACAATGAATCTTAGAAACATTATGCTAACCGAAGTAAGCCAGACACAGAAAATACTACATGATTCCACTTACGAAAAATACCTAGAATAGGTAAATTCAGAGAGAAAGAGAATAGAGGTTGTCAGAGGCTCAGGGATAGAAAGAGTAATCATTCAAAGGCTACAGAATTTTTGTTGGGGATGATGGAAAACTTTGGGTATAGATAATAGTGTTGGTTATATGACACTACAAATGTATTAATGCTACCAAGCTGTATAATTACAAATGGTTAAAATGATAAATGTTATGTTATATATATTTTACTGCAATTAAAAAAAAGAAGCATTAGGTATACTTTAAAATTGCTTTTGGTCACTGAGCAGAGAGATGCTAAGTCTAATGCTCAACTTTTGGACCACTTTTCTAATGATAAGGATTGTAGTTTAATGGGCTAGTAACATTTACTCAGTTTCATGGTCAATCTTTACCCCTAATCCCAGTATTTTATAATTCTCAAAGAACTTTCATGTTTTACCAAATTTAATTTTTGTACTCACATTTGAGTAGTGGATAAATCATGACACATTTTTTAGATGACAAAAAAGTGAGGTTCAGCAAGGTTAAATGACATGTTCAAGTAGGAATGAAATAATATAATCCATGTGAAATATTCAACACAGTATTTGGCACAGTAATTATTCAGGAAGCTTTAGGGATTATCATATTATAACTAGTAAGTAATTGGAGGATCCAGGAACAGGCAGACATCCTCCTCTGAGGATCTCCCAGGAAATTTCAATAGTGCTGTTCAACGGCAATCATTTAAAAAATCCCAACTACACAAAGTAATGGGTCAGCTGGATCATCCTCAGAGCATGAAGGACTATATTCATTGCTTTTATTTTTCAGGCACCCTGATCTTGATCTGATATATACTTTGGCAACTCTTTTGGCAAAAGAGCTTTTTTCTTTTAATTTTGTCAAATATTGGTACACAAATTGCTGCATCTCTCAGTATCATGATGAGAAACAGCCAAGTAATCAAAAATCTGTAGTTTCTCTTTTAGGCCCTGATGATGAGTTCCTTTCTAGGAAGATGTCTCTAATTACAGAACTGGTAAAAGAATTAAAAAAAGGAGGGGGATTAAAACTCAATAAAGCTATTTCTAGAATGATGAGTCTAAAAGATGCTGCCCTGGCATTGGACAATTCCTGTGGGCAACAGGCATCTTCAGTGACCCATCAATATGGGAGAACTCACTTGATGTTTCCTACATTCTGGGACCCTGAAAAGCCCAAAGCTGTGGGTCAAATCACCTGGCGGAGAGCAAAGGCCTATAACTCTAAATGTATTTATTTACATGTGTTTGTCCTAATATGGGTTCAGAAATAGCCAAACAAACAGTGAATGTCATCACAAGGTGACACAATTATTCAATCAGCTGGAGACACAAACACTAAGGAATTATTTCAGGTAATGGGAAAGTACAAAGAGAGAAATTAATGTTTTTAATTTATTAAGATCAATGTAGGTCTTCTTCTTCCTCTTGTTTAGGGGACCAGAGTATAAATTATACCACTATTTTAGTGCTTTTGTGAATGACAAAGTTACCCTCTTCTAAAAATTTAGTCATTGTCTCACATACACTTCAAATGAAGTTACCATAAGCCCAGACTGGGGCAAAAAAGTTTTGTTTGTTCAGAGTCTACTCCAATAGCAGTCTCCTTCCCTAATTAAGGAGAATGACAAAAATGCTATGTAGATTAAGTCCTCTGAGCATGTAATTTATCTATTAATAGTATATGAACATATAATTTTAATCCATTTGAAACATAACTTTTATATACAATAAAGCCTAGATTAGCCAAACTATTAAAGGCTTTAGAATTCTGATTAATTTCTAGTGACTTAGAAATCAGTAGAGAGTAAACACCTTTGTACCAGTCAGCTTGCTTTGCTACTCCAGGACACTACCCTATTGTTCAATGACAAAGTGCAGGAGTGTGTATCTAACTCTGGCACAACACTGTCACAGTCACTACTTTCTTCTTAGTTACATGTTACATTCTCACTGATGCTCTTTTTGGAAGACTTTTAAAAAATGGTCTCAATTCCTTGAATGTATAACAATAGCTTCCCCATGAAAAATGACATTGTTTTTAACAAAATTAGATAAGTAACACAGTAACAAAATGTTTATGTCTAACAGAAAATAAGGCTCATACCTGATTTTGAAATGTGGAGATTTTTAACTTTAATCAAATAGTGAGTTTCCACATGTAGTGGATTTAAAGTATTTCTAGGACTGGTACAGGGGTGACAACTTGAATTTACGGTGGAACAGTAAATTTAGTTTACATCAATGTTACAAAGTCAGGAGGAAGAAACAGTTCAGAACAGCTCACAGATTTACAGACAAGGACTGAATCACTGCACTGACAAAAATATATTCTCTGATGAAATATGTTCTTTTTCTTATAGGTGCCAATTTCATAGGAAGTATAACTTGTTCTAAAAATTCTTCTCTAGAACAAATAAACTTTTAACAATTTGAATCAAACAACTGTCTTTCAATCAGATACCCAGAAACCTTTTGCTAACGCTATTTTGACTTATTTCTATACAAAAAATTGTCAGTTCGTCCTTAAATTAGCCAATCCTATAACATCTCTATTTTATAAATCATTTGAGTTTTTGCCACAGACATCCTATTTTTTTTTTACAAGAAAGAAAGTCCTCTACCAAATGCAAAAGAGTAAGCAATGACAACAAGTAATTAAAATAGATATTAAAACTTACTAAGTTTGTTTTTATGCTATTTAGTAATCTCCTTTACTCGGAATTTTAGTAGAGTAATTTATATGTTATTAATGCTTTAAGCATATTAAAATGCCTTTGTTCACTTTATATACAACATACACAAAGAAACCGCTGCACTCAGATTTGTCATTCTCAGATTTGATGGTTAATATAATCAGGTTAATATGTTAAAAAGAACTTGACACAGAAATTATTAATGAGTAGAACAAGGTCACTACTTCTGAGCTGAGGTCACTTACAAAGAATGCACAAATGAAATTAAGGTTGACTTTTATTTACTTGACTATCTTCTTACATTGGATTCCTTTGGCAACATCTCTTTAAACATTTAAAGCCCTGTTTACAAGGAGGTTCTGAAAGAAGCTTCAAACCATTATGCCCCTAATTGAATTCCCCAGGAGTCCAGTAAACTCAGAGGAATAAAGAAAAAATCACAACATTTGCAAAATCATCTCAAAACATATTTTACTGCAAGGTTAAATGACCTGTTTTTTGAGGTTCAGAGATTAATAAAAGAATATTACTGAATGCTTCATTATTTAGGCTAAAATCAAAAAGAATTTTACCTGTTAGCAGGGAGCTAATTAAATCATTTCAGTTTTAACTTTTTTTTTCCAAAAGAAATCTGACAGCACACAATAATATTTTATACCATACATGATCACTTTTCCAGTGTATAAAAGCTCTCAGGAGGAGGAAAGGATCTTTATCCAAAAATAATGACTTACAGTAAAGGTATGAGAGAGAGCTGACAAACATGTTATAGTCCCTACGGAAAAGCAGTATTTTCACCTGTGAATGCAGAACAAACTCAAGTGGAAGAAGAGAAAGTAAAAGTTGTGAGAAATCAATTAGTTTATCACAATGCCTGCTTTTCCCAATTCTAATTTTTCTTTAAAATAAGCTTTTATGATCTTTTTATCCATAGTTGCCTCATCCACTCCTGTGTTTGTTGTGAGTACTAAGCGAAAACATGTGGATCTGAACATTTCTAAAAGAATGTTAGATCCCTCCCAACTTACCTGGTTTGTATGTTATTCCAGGGGGGAAGAGGAATCCCTGTTGGGCAGCAGCAGCTGCTGCCAGGGTCCGCTGGTCATGTGGAAAAATTGGGATCATGAGCGGAGGCATGTGACCCTGAACCTGCTAAAACAGAAGAGAGCCTATGATCAGACAGAGAGCAAACATATGCCAAGAAGTATTTGTTTTTCGCTCCTGGTGGTATGCTGGTACCCACACAGCCGTCCACCTCTGACCTCATTCCAAATCTGCAACCTGAGAAAATTCAGGCAAAATCTACTGACTCGCTTTTCTTTGATACCATTAACACCCCAAGGACGTAACTTCATTGTGAACTTGCCTCATCCCTACCTCCTCCACACGGTAGTAAACGGTTTTCTTTTCTCTTGATTTTTCCCCTTTTATTTTCTGTTTTTCAAACCAAGAACTAGAACAAATGAGTTTGCTTCTTTTTTCTCACACTGCACAATTTTGAGAGGTTTTACCCTTTCTCCTGCTTTGCATTCTGTGCTTTATTTTGAAAATAGTCTTTAGTATCCTCATTTACAAAATAATGTCTGATTGTTATATATTCTAAAAGCTGTATCTCCCCAGGTTAGGTATCTTATTTCAAAGCCTCACTGCATTATGTTAAACATACAGGTCTTCAGATTTAAGGCTACTACATCTTGGCTCCCAATTAAACTAATATTCCTTGCCATACATACCTTGATGTAACATATAAATTGCTTGTCTGGCTAAGCAGTTTTATAGCTTTATGCACTACTATGTAGCTCAGTAATTATGGAGTTGTATTCAGAAAGCATTTCATAATAAATCCTACTATATCAAATTTGATTTGACCTCAATAAATGTATCAAAGAGCACAAAAATGCAAAATAGAAAAATCGTTACTCTATATCAGTATTTGTATTCCTTATGAAGAAAATAAGAGCTATGACAGAATCATGCTTATGAAAATTACATTTTAATTTCCTAGCTCCTTCCTGTGCTCTACGCATGCTGTCCTGATTCCACGATAGCACAACAGGAAGATTTTGTCCTGGCTTTTTGGGGACAATTTTATAGGTTGAATACAGGATTTTTCTTATTTAAAGATCAAAACTGAGATGTATTAAAAAAAAAAAAAAAAAGATCTTGAAGTTCAAACAGGGTCTTCAGTCTTTTTACCAGTATGAAAGAGCTGTATTATATCCTATTTAAGATAGAAACCTTTACCAGTAATTTTACCAACCCCAAACCCTTCCCCTGTTTAAATTCCTAAGTCTTCTCTTTAGGCAAAATTCCATGCAGTGGCTGACGACCCTGTTTAAATAGCACCAACTTGCCTTGTCCTGTCCCTGTTCTTTCTATAGCCAGGGATACGGTGCAAAAAATGCTTCTATGTGGGTCTAAGAGGTTTCATTTACCAACATATTTTCTCTAGGGAAAGCCCTAAGATGTGGGTTAATAAAGGGCAAACAAAAAATAAACACTTTACAGTATTTTTCTGAATTCATTTCTCAGGAAAATCAACTATAATAAAAAGGTCTTTGTGCAATTACTACCTTGCCAGTGGGGCGTGAAAGAAACTAGCTTTGAGCAGCTATTTCTTCCATTTTAGCTGAGGTAAGCCCAAGTTTTCAACATTAGAGTACAAACTTAGCCTGCTTAAATTGGAGCTGATCCCCTAGTGTCCAGGTCTTGCCTTTAACCCTGAAGAAAAGCACTGGATTTGCTACTCAACTCTATAGCTGTTGTGACTTGATGCAAACCTGAAATTCTAGGGACATGTTCTAAGCCAGAAAATATAACACAGAATTCTTTGTGGGTGACAGTTGCTCAATACAAGAGTATATCAAAGAAAATCATTTCATTTTCCTCTAGAAATATGGTCCTAGCATCTAGAACACAGCACAGATGGCCTACACTGTAAAGAAAGAAAACAAGAAAGTGAGCGAGAAAAATCACATTTATTTACACTTCTCTTTTTTTCGTTTAACAAATATTTATTATGTTGCAATTATCTGTGAGGGATCTTCAGAGGTAGCTGAAGAAATCAGAATATTTAGTTTGGAAGAGAAAAGACATAAGGTTATCTTCAAATATTTGAAAGAATGATGTATGCACAAAAGATTAGAAGAAGACTGAATGGTTGCAGGGGGTAGAACTAAGCTGGAAAGGAAGAAATTAGAGGAAAATTTAACACAATGAAGAATTTTCTAATAATAAGTTATTCCACAATCACCATGATTAAAGAGGTAGTGTACGTCTTTTCCCTAGAGATGGTCAAGAAAATGCTGTGTACCTCCATATGTTAGAGATGTTTTAAGGTAGATAAACAAAAGTGTGATTAAATAATAATCTTTAGTGTCTTTCTAGCTTCATAATTCTACGATTGTTTAAAAGTCAACATTAGTAAGATAGTATGTGGTATTATTCCTTTATTCAGTCATTCAAATTGTATTTATTGAAAACTTACCAGGTACCTACAAAGGCTTTGTTGGCAAAAAAAAATCTGATCTCAAAATTATATACTGTTAATTTCTTAGCTGTATGATGTTGGATAGTTGTTTAACCTTTCTGAAGTGTTAAAACTGAAGCTAATGATACTACTTTACATGGTTATGGAATAACAGACAATAATGTAAAGTGTGTGGCACAGTGTCTGACAGAATAGTAATGTCATGTCACAGTAAATGTTAGATACCTGCTCTTTTCTTATATAGTTTACATATTCAGGATTAGAAAATTATCAAATTATCGATAAAACTAGGAATAGTTGACCTTACCCATAACTCTACTTCAAGAAAGAAAACATGGACCACCTAAATAGTCCCATTTGGCGGGCAGAGGCTTGTCATGTTCTTAGCAGACAATATGCCTCACAGAGCACTATCCCATACCAAGTATCTAGAAGATCATGAAGAAGAAGAGGTGGGATTACCAGGATCATTTGGAAATGTAATTAGAGATCTTCAGTGTTATTCATTAAAGAGCATCTTAGAATAAAAACAGTTTTATTTGTACATTGGGCGCTCAGTCAAGCTCCTTCAGATCATAAGAATATGAAGAGGTCACTGGTAATTAGGAATCAGACCTTGATTCTTGAATCATTGTGTCTGAGTTAAGTCTTTGTACATGTTCATGTTCATAAGATAACTAATCAAACTTTCCAGGGTCATTTTTAATACCAAAGAGCTGTAGGTGTTTCATATTGACATAAGTTGTAAGAATTTAAAGAAGTTTCTTTTTGTCTATCACACTCTACAAAGTAAGATATGTTAGAAACTTTAAATGTAAATTATTATCCCAGAATCTGTTTCAATAAGTTAAGAGACAAAATAAACGAGGATAGACGACATTGTGAAAGCAATAGTAATGATAGAAAAAAAGCTGAGATACAGCTTAGAGATAATCTAACCTACTAGTTCTGAAAGTGTGACACCTGACCAGAAGCATCAGCAACATCTGGGAACTTTTTAAAAAGTAAATTCTTGGACTCCATCTTATACCTACCCAATCAGAAACTCTGGGATTAGATAAGGCAATTTAAATTCTAGACTAAATTTAAACTAGAGCAATGATTCCCAAACTTCAGTGTGCATCAGAATCATACAAAAGGGCTTGTTAAAACACAGATTGCTTGGCCCTATCCTCGGAGTCTTTGAATCAGTAAATGTGACGTGAGAGTATGAGACTGTACATTTCTAACAAGTTCCCAGGTGAAGGTGGTGCCTCTGGACCATGGACCGTTCTTTGAGAATCGTTAGTTTAACCCAAAGCTCACAACTCATACATAGGGACACAGGTGGCTACAGAAGGTAAAAGATACAAGTCTAAGTTTACAGTGCCTGAGACTCTAGATCCAGAGTCTAGACCTGCCAATTCCCCTGTCCACTTTTTCCATTACACCAGACAGACTTCAGTAACATAAAAGAGAGGAATCACTTTCATATACTGTTTTAGCAGAGAAAACTTGGAGGTCTCTGGCTGAAAATAACTTCGTTTCAGAGGTATAGTGTTGGAATTTGGTTACTACAAACGTTGTTCAATTTTATATGAAGTTCTTCATTTCCATTCCCTTATTTTTACCCAGAACACACTTAATCTGAATATCTACCACTACTGATTTCACTATTTTATTATAATATATTCATTAACAATAATCATTTAGTTTTAAATGATAAAAATGCCTTTACCTTAAGTGAAACAAGGATGTAAAAATTCAAAGTTCCCTTAATTATTAAAGAAAAGCCAGAATGCCTAGTAGTTACGTAGAATCTAGGCTGAGAGGAGATGAGGAAAGTTCCTCTTTTATCTCTAATTACAGAAGTAATAACAATGATGACAATGATGGTGAGAATAACAGCAACAACCACAGCAGCTAATATTTTTCAGTGTTTTCTATATGTCAAGCTCTAGAAAAGTGTTAATTAAATACTAATTTAATCCTCAAAACTCTAAAAGGTACTTAACATTATTATTCTTATTCATTTAATGAGAATTAAAAAACCATAAGACATTAAGTAATTCTTATGTAATTTTCAAGTAAAATCTGCCACATGGAGCCAGGATTCAAGTCCAGATATGTCAGGGTCGAAGTTTATATTTTTAAGTGCCGTAGTATATTAAGCATGAAATCATCTTTTATAAAGCAGATCTAAATGATATAGGGAATAATAATTTGACTGACAGTTTTATAAATATAATTGTAGATTTACATGCAAGTTGTAATAAACAACAAACAATATCACAACCAGGGTATAGACAATGATACAATCCAACAAGTTTATTCAGATTCCCCCAGCGTGTTACTGAAGGGAATTATAGCTTTAAAATTAGCAAGGTCAATGAGGGTCAACCAATACTTCCAACTACCACTTTCTACAGAATGTTCACCAGTATAGCTCAATGCAAGTGATACAAGCAGGGAGCATAAATTAAATTGACGAGTCTCCCCTCTCATAGGTTCCCATTTGGTGTACTTACTAAAGGAAGGATTACTGGTTGAATGTGAGACATAAATGGAAAGCAAAAGCAAGGTAAAGGGAAAAAAACAAGGAAAGAGAGCTTGGTAGCCAGATAAGAATCACATAAACATCTAAGATATTTTCCGCTTTATGGAAGTTGTGAATCAAGGT